TCTTCCTTTTCAGCTGCGGCTGCATTGCTTGTTTCCGTGGGAGGCTCAACCTCCTGTGGGTTCATGCTGGGGTTGTTGTCAGAAGTCGCAGATGTATTAGCATCCTGCTCAGAAGCCTGTGCAGGCTGCGTCGCTTCCACCTCCTGTTGCACTGCAGGCCCGCTTTCACCTGATGTTTCGCGGCCTTCACCGTCATCTTGCTGCTTGCTGGGTGCCTCCTCCTTCGTTTCTTCAGTTTTTGCCATTTCTTCCAGGTTCCCAGCATCGGGAATCTGTGGTGGCTCTACTGAGCCTGACTCGGCTTTTTCAGCAAGTATTTTACTGTCATCTTTACTTGCATTCGCCTCCTCCTCCATGTTTCCTGCTCCTGCACCGGTTTCTCTCGCAGAACTTCTGTCTGTGTTCTCGTCTCCAAGGTTCAAGCCAAAGACATCAGCAGGGTCTGAAGAAGGAAACGCAGCTCGGCAAAGTCGCTGCTTGCCAAATTCTACGCCGCTTCACAATGAAGCTTTCAGTGGAATGCCACAGGGAACTGTTTGCGTAAAGCTACGAAATTTGTGAACATGTGTTTACCGTTTTCCTTAGGTTCTGATGTGGTTGGCTTTTCTCTTTTCGAGGCGGCCAACCCAGCCAGCGCAGCGATCTGCTCGGGTTCTGAAACCGAGGGCCCCCCAGTTACTGAAATAACCCCTCCCACTTCTTCATCAACAAGTTTCTTAAGTTCATTGCAGCTCTGGTTTTCAAGGCTTCCCGCTTCTTCAAGTGACAAATCACCTTCTGTGGGCTGCGCTGTTTTATCCTTCTGGCTGGCTTTTTTCTTTTCCAGGATGGCCCGCCGCCTCTGCTCTCGACGGCGACGCCGCCGCTGCTCGCAAATGCGAGAGTGTCGGAGGAGCAGCTCCGGCCAGTTGAGCCGTCGACGCCCACTCAAATCCCGAAGATGTCTCAGAAAGGCGTTGACTTCCTAAAGCCCCACCGGACACCCCACAAACCACAACTTCTTCCTGTCAGTCTTTCAGATCGAGTTAGGCCCAGTGAAGCCAGAGGCCGTAGCCCCAATGCAGAGAAGACAGTACAAAGGCGGTAACTGCATCCAAGGTTCACTGAAAGCAAGTCCTAGGAAAAACGGCGAGTGTAACTGGAGTGATATCTGTGGTGATGGATGTGAAGAATCTTATTTTCTTCCTTGAGGGAAACTGTTGCTTGGCTTCATTTACCTGTTTATCCCCATTAGGCAACTCAAGCACATACCCAGCTGTGCGCGAGCGCTTGCTGGCCATAAACTCCAGTGTGAGCAGCAATGCCTCCAGTATTGGAACGCGGGACCCTCGGCGCATCATTCGTGTCAGCCTGTTGCCAGAAACACATCGCTCATCTGCAGGTTTTCTTGACTGTATTTTTTGTGTAACCACAACTTTTTATGCCCACTAGCATTAACTACAAACATAACAAGCGGAAATCAAAACCACGCGTCCTTCTATTTGCTTTTCCCAACGCACTTGCATGCGACTGCCGCATGCACGGACTTACCGCCTGCCCAGAGGGGTCAGAAGGGAAGAGCTTATCTTGCAAAGAGCCGTTAGCAGATACTCGGCTTGCAACCATTCCAGACCTAGGTTTGTTGCCAGTCTGTAAGCCACGCGGCTTTTCTCTACAAGCACAATAAACTAGATCAAATAAGCTTCAGATGTATTACGCCCTCCTTAACACATAAGGTGTTTATCTGCGTCATTGTAGCAAGGCACGCATGCATTCTGAACTATCTCTCTCAGCCTACCGGGGCCACTGGGTCCTACGATCAGGATCGCCTGCCGAGGCTCCTGAGCAAAGGCCACTTCGTCTTCTTCCGTTACCATAATAGTGTGTTCCTGCGGTGGCTCCTCAGCTTGAAGGTATGCTTTGTGCCAGGGTTCTTCATCCTCTTGTCCGTCGCTCAAGAGTGCTGCAAGCGCATGCATGGACTGCAGGTTTAGACAAGCATGCATAGTCCTCTATAAGAAACATGCGCGTGGGAGGATACACAAGTCTGCTCAATAAGAATTTCGCTTAGAAGAAGCGG